TGCAGTCCCATTTTCTCCTGCTTATCTTAGATATTCAGTTAAATTGACTTTCTCATTCTGCCTTCAGCCCTGTTGTGTCAATTATTATATCCTGTCCTGGTGCTACCTTGTCTTCCCATAGAATTCAGACTTACAAATTAGTGGGTTAATTGAACAAAGATAAGTGGATTTTACTCTTTGCAATTCCTTCCACGATCACCCTAAAAATAGTGGAGGCTCAGATTTTGTCAGTGTTTGCTCCTTTTTGTGACCACACCCCTTTTTGGGCACTCTACTATTCTTGCCTGGAGAATCCTGTGAACAAGAGAGCCTGGTGGGCTGCTGTCCATAAGGTCGCACAGAGTCGGACAGGACTGAAGTGACTTAGTATGCATGCTTGCATTGGAGAAGGAAATGGCAACCCACTCCCGTGTTCTTGCCTGGGGAATCCCAGGGACAGGGGAGCCTGGTGGGCTGCCATCTANTAATGGACAATAATCACATTCCAGGACCCCTTAACACAGCTGAACATTTTGCCCAGCCTTTCCTTAATATAAATTTACAGTTCTAACTTTCTAACATTTAACTCTTCTGAGCACAAACTTTTAGCATATTTATGACCCTTCATAATGGAGTTTTATTTCTTAAATGTAATTTCCCATTAGTATTATGAATTTTAGTTAGACTGCAATGTTTTGAATAATTTCCACTGGCATTTATTGCGTACTTTCTGTGGCTACGTAGCAAGATCTACTGAATGCCAAACACACATCAGCGCAGCTAGTGGCCACAATTAATCCTCTGAGGTAGACATTTTCATTATCCTCTTATACCAATGGGCAAACTGAAACTTAAAGATATTTAATTACTCACTCCTAGTCTTCTAGCTCGGAGAAGGCAATGGCACACCACTCCAGCACTCTTGCCTGGAAAATCCCATGGACAGAGGAGCCTGGTAGACTGCAGTCCATGGGGTCGCAAAGAGTCTGACATGACTGAGCGACTTCACTTTCACTTTTCACTTTCATGCATTGGAGAAGGAAATGGCAACCCACTCCAGTGTTCTTGCTTGGAGAATCCCAGGGACAGGGGAGCCTGGTGGGCTGCCATCTATGGGGTCGCACAGAGTCAGACACTACTGAAGCGACTTAGCAGCAGCAGCAGCAGCAGTATATGTTATTTTATGAATCATTTGAAGATATCCTCTAGTATAGCTGGTCTATGATGAAGCTGTGTTCTCAGTGGCTCAGTCATGTCCAACTCATTGCAACTCTGTGGAATTTTATAGGCAAGAATACTGGAGTGGGTTGCCATTTCCTACACCAGGGGATGATTCCCACCCAGGGATCAAACCTACATTTGCTGTGTTTCCTGAATTGGCAGGGGGGTTCTTTTACCACTGAGCCACCTGGGAAGCCCATGATGAAGTTAGTCATTCTTAAAAAAATTATTAAATAATTTACTTCTATGGTATTGTTTTCCATCAAAGCAATAGCTTTAATCTGCTCTCTCTTCTCTGTTTCACAATTCCAAAAACTAATTCTAACCCAGTTACAAAACTTCTCAAGTGCTCTCCTATATGACCACTATTCCAGTTGCTCCCAGCTCATTACTTTCAGAATATGTCCTTCTATGTGTGCTTACAGATTCACTACACACCCCTACAATTATTTATCCCTACCTTGCTATTGCTGTTTCATTTTTTGGGTGAAATTTTGTGAAATTAGAGAATAGAAAGTTTCTATATATCCATATATTTGTTTTCACTTAAGTGACATATTTTTTCCTGTGCAAAGATATTTCTAGGTTCAAGAGGGAGGAGATATATGTATACCTATGGCTGATTCATCTTGAGGTTTGACAGAAAAAAACAAAATTCTGTAAAGAAATTATCCTTCAATTAAAAAATAAATAAATTAAAAAAGATATTTCTAAAATTTAATTACTAAAAATTAATTGTTTCCCTCATGGCTCAGATGGTAAACAATATGCTTTCAATGCAGGAGACCTGGATTAGGTCTCTGGGGTGGGAAGATTTCCTGGAAGAGGGCATGGCTACCCACTCCAGTATTCTTGCCTGGAGAATTACATGGACAGAGGAGCCTGGCAGGCTATACAGTCCAGGGGGTTGCCAAGAGTCAGACATGACTGAGCCACTAACACTTTCACTCAATAGTAAAATAAAATAAATCATCATAAAGTACTCATTTAAAAAAACAGTTTTTCTAGAATGTAGCTAATATGTAAGAGGAAGTCATTTCTTATTTAATGACATTTGTCTTTTTAAAGGATCTCTTAAATATATCCTCCAAGTCTCTGAGTGATACTTCTTTCCATTGCCAATAATATCTCAGTTTATGTAACTCTCAGACATCTCAAGAGAAAATGTAAGTTGGTCACTGATTTCTCATTTCATCTGAGTTTAAATGCAAAATTCTCTTTTTTTATACTGGAAGTGTGTGTGTGTCTTCAGGGAGGCAGAAACCCAAGGAAGCAGGATTCTTAAACCAAATCCTCATGTTTCCAGCTGCACAACAGTGACTGTTATAGACACAGCGTCTTCATCTGGGCAAAGCCAGAGTAGGAGGCCAAGTGGAGGAGTCACACATTGTCTGAAATTGTCAAGCTGTTACTATTATTTGGCACAGACTTTCTCTGTAAGTATTTTTGGGAACAGTACATTGGAAAGCTAAGCATAAGTGACACTTTGAGTTTGGTCCCCAACTTTACTTACTGTTTACTTCAGAGAATGTTATTATAGCTGCAGATGTTAGTATGAGAAGACCCTGAAGATCACCAATATCAGAAGAGCATGAGCACATTAGAGTGTGGGTCAGCTGAGCTCACAGAAGTTTGGACTGGGAGTCTGACTAGAGAGTAGACCTTCTTGAATTATTAGAGGCATATTGTAAGTGTCTGAATTTGTGCCAACTGCCATGAAGAAAAAAGATAGATATCAATTAGGTCTAACTGGTCTGTTGTATCATTTAAAGTTTGTGTTTCCTTGCTAATTTTCTGTCCTTAGGGATAAATCTACCTAAAGAAACAAAATGCCTATATATATAAAACTATAAAACACTGATGAAAGAAATAAAAGATGACACAAATAGATGGAGAAATATACCATGTTCATTGATTGGAAGAAACAATATAGTGAAAATGAGTATATTATCCAAAGCAATCCATAGATTCAAAGCAATCCCTATCAAGCTGCCAACAGTATTTGTCACAGAACTAGAACAAATAATTTCACAATTTGTATGNATGGAGAACAGTGTGGCGGTTCCTAAAAAACTGGAAATAGAACTGCCATACGACCCATCAATCCCACTGCTGAGCATACTCACCAAGGAAACCAGAATTGAAAGAGAGACATGTATGCCAATATTCAACACAGCACTGATTACAATAGCTAAGACATGGAAGCACCCTAGATGTCCATCGGCAGAAGAATGGATAAGCAAGTGTGGTATATATACACAATGGAATATTACTCAGTTATTAAAAAGAACTCATTTGAATCAGTTCTAATGAGGTGGATGAAACTAATGCCTATTAATCAGAGCGAAATAAGTCAGAAAATAAAACACCAGTTCAGTATATTAATGCATATATATGGAATTTTGAAAGATGGTAGTGATGATCCTATATGCAAGACAGCAAAAGAGACACAGATGTATAGAACAGATCTTTGGACTCTGTGGGAGAAGGCGAGGGTGGGATGATTTGAGAGAATAGAATTGAAACATGTATATGGCCATATGTGAAATATATCACCAGTCCAAGTTTGATGCATGAAACAGGGCATTCAAATCTGTACACTGGCACAAGCCTGAGGGATGGGATGGGGAGGGAGGTGGGAGGTGGGTTCAGGTTGGGGGACACATGTACACGCATGGCTGATTCAACTCAGTATATGGCAAAAACCACCACAATATTGTAAAGTAATTAGCCTCCAATTAAAATAAATAAATTAATAAAAAAAATAAATTGTCCCTGATCTTTATGACCTTAATGAGCCACTAGGAGAGGTGGCTAAGAACTGCAGGTCCAGGAAGAGAGATAAAACCATTAAAAAAAGACCTAGAGAATTCCCAGAGAGTCCATGGGAGGAAGATAATTTTCAAATTGGGAGACTAGAGATTGGCCAGAATTGTACTTAAATGTCTGAAGATAATGGGAGAAACAATCAGTTTGATGTTTAAAGCTGAGCAGAGCTTCCCTGCAGACAGACCTACAAAGTTGGTAACACTGCACACTATCCTCTGTGCATTAGGCAACCTGTGCGTCAACAAACTCTCCAGGTGATTCTGACACACACTAGTATTGAGGAAATGCTGGTCTAGATAAAAGAGAGTCCTGATGTGATACCCATAATACAGGGTCAAGAAAAAGAAACATTTCAAAACCTCGATAGGGAGAATTTTTGTGTGTGTGCTCTGAAATCCATCTGTTGCTTCACGAGAGAGCACAGAACAACCTGGCAACCACTTTACCACCAGGATCCTGGATGGTTAAGAAGATACTCAAAAGGAACTGACCCTTCTGTCTGTGAACTTTTATTCTTGGGCATGCTTAAGTATTCCTCAGTTCTTCCCTTGTCTTAGAACCTCATTTCTTTAATTTTTCTTCTTTTTTCAGGAAATGATAAATGATTTGTTTGTTTTAAGCAGTTACTTACCAAAGACTCATGCAGATAAGACACTGCACAGCTGTTTCTTGTATTTATTGTTCTCTTTTTCCTCTCAGCACTAAAATATTTACCCATTTTGTTATGTTCAAAGTTTTAGTGAGTGTTAAGCAACAGTGCCAGCAGTTAATGGTGGAGCAAGATGTGGAGAGAGTATTAATGAGTTAAATGAGTGCAAGGTGTTATGATACTTTCAACAGTCTATCAGTCTCCTATCTGAATAGTACTTATCGAGTGCTTATTGTGTTACCAGATATGTGGAATTTTTCTTTGTGCTATAATAAAGAGATAAGATTCCAATGCTGGCAGATGGAACACAAGAGTTTTTGGAAGACAAATAGGAAATGTGAAGGAATATGAGAAAGTTTTATTAATGCTTTGCGCTCAGGATGTTTAAGGGTCACAGAGAACAAGGAGAAGAAGTAGAAGAAGCATTTATTTATGTATGTAAATTAATTAATTATGTATGTATGTATGTAAAAAGAGTAACAAGAAAAAACATTTTTTCTAAAATTTCTAAGACATGTAACTCATGGCACAGATAGAATGGGGCAAAGAGAAGCTATTTATTTGAGGGCAAGAGAGTTAATTCTAGGAGAAGGGTATGACACATGCGGAAACACGGAGGTGAGACAAAACAAAGCATGCTCTATAAAGGGCTGTGTCTATGTGAGTGGAGCTGGAACATACTCATGTGAAGGGAGTTATTCTTGTTTCATAAAGTTACGAATGCTAAGGAAAATGGTTTGACAAAGAGTGATTTTATCCATTTAAATTTTAGACAGATTTTGGGTCAATAGAACTGTGGAGAAACTTGATGGCCTAGAATGAAGGCAGATAAATCTGTCAGGGGATTACTAATGTAACAGTCAAACTGAATTCATATCTCTTTTCTTTCAGTCAGTTACAGGCTTATCTGCCAGCCATGGTGTTATCTCTCAACCACACAGGGACCCAGGTGACCGAATTCCTGATGATCTGCTTTCCAGGAATGCAGGATACCCAGCACTGGCTGTCTCTAGTCCTGGCTCCTCTCCTAGTTTTGGCTCTTGGGGCCAACTTTCTGTTATTACTTGCCATCTGGCAGGAGGCATCTCTGCATGAGCCCATGTACTACCTGCTTGCCATCCTTTCTGTGTTGGATGTCATCCTCTGCCTCACAGTCATCCCTAAGGTCAGACCCTCCCTGGATTTACTCCCGGGTATTCAATCATCTTTCTCTAAACACTACCTTGCTTTGCAGATGTAAATACTCCTGTAAAATTTTCAATGAGTTGCCAACAGTATCATACTAGGTCCATCACAGCTTCCAGATATGTCTCATCTCATTCTCAGTGCCTATGATTTTTAAGGTTTCACATTATTTTTTCAAACTGAGAAGCCATCTCTCAATGTCTGAGTCAGTGATATTTCAAGTTTTGACTTTCTGTTTACTTCTAAGGAGATTCTCCTTGACTCTGAATCACTCCACCCTTATATTCAAGGGCTCAAGACTTTTCTTTGTAAAACATAACAAGGAACTTCCCTGACAGTCCAGTGCTTAAGACTTCACCTTCCAGTGCTGGTCATGTGGGTTCGATCCCTGTTAGGGGAGCTAAGATCCTACATGCCTCAAGGCCAAGAAACCAAAACATAAAACAGAAGCAATATTGTAACAATATTTATTGTTCAATAAAGCTTTTTAAAACTGATCAACATTAAAAAAAACTTTAAAAATGTAACTAGATGTATATTTATGTCATATACTGAGGTAGGAGGTATAATTGGAAGATGTTTCTTATGTATAAGGTGAAGTTGGAGGGTGTTCAAATATAAGTATTGGGCTTATTGGATTTGATGTCCTTGTGATACATTTAGACGAGCTGATGTGTCCATATGAAGTTTGGGTAAGAACTCTAGAGATCAAGAGAAGACAGACTAGAAACAAATGTTTTTAAGCAAAAGGGTGTGATCTATAGTTTAAAAGTGTATAAATCGGGCCCTGGAAGTTGGGATGCACATAGAAGATATTTGAAATTAGGACACTGTCCCCGTTAGGATTATGACATTGTGGTTTGGGGATATGAGTGGTTGAAGTCATCAAAGGATTATCCAAGGGTTAGGTACCCTAGGGTGGGAGTGAATGCACCGCTTTTGAAAATAATATTTCTGGCAGGTCCTGCTCATCTTCTGGTTCGACATGAAGCGCATCAGCTTTATGGGCTGCTTCCTGCAGATGTTCATCATGAATACATTCCTTCCCATGGAATCCTCCACCTTTCTGGTCATGGCTTATGACCGCTACGTGGCCATCTGCCACCCACTGCACTACTCATCCATAATCACGGAACAGTTTGTCATCAATGCGGCCATCTTCATCATCCTTCGCAATTTGCTGGCCACTCTGCCTACACCAATTCTGGCTGCGAAACTCAATTACTGTGCCAGCAATGTAGTGGAAAACTGTATCTGTGCCAACATTTCTGTAGCAAAGCTCTCCTGTGGAGATATTTACCTGAATAAGCTCTACCAATTTGTGAGTGTTTGGTGCCTGTTGGGTTCTGATCTGGTCCTTATCTTGCTATCCTACTGTTTCATCTTGAGTGCTGTTGTGCATTTGCAGTCAGGAGGTGCAACCACCAAGGCCTTGAGTACTTGTGGTTCCCATCTCATTCTTATACTTTTCTTCTATACATTGCTGCTAGTCTTCATCTTCACAAATAAGGCAGGGAAAAAAGTGTCCCCAGAGGTACCCATTCTTCTCAATGTCTTGCACCATCTCATCCCACCAGCCCTGAACCCCATTGTTTATGGAGTACGAACCCAGGAAATCAAGCAAGGGATTATCAAACTATTCAAGTACCAGTGCTGAGAGATGTGAGTCAAAGATTAGGGATTATGGAAATTTGAGTGTGTCAGTGATGGTTTCAACTGAATACCACAAGGAACACCATGTAACATCCATGCTGCTACCCTCATCTTTTATTTAAACCTTCCTCAACCACTATCACAATATTTACTCTCAGTAACCCTCTCCTGAAACCCTCATTGAATATGTTTTGGTATCCACTATTTTCTTCATTCTGACCCCTTGCCATTGATATCTCAATTACTCATTCATTAAATAAGTATTTAGTGCCTTCCACATACTACTCAGTCTTTTCATTCCAAATGCCTTCACATGTAATTACCAGAGCAGGGATGGGACAGTGCTTCAAATAGAACATGAGGATTATGGGTAGGACTGGAAAAAACAATGAGGACTTTACTTCAATAATCCAGGTGGGAAATTATAATGATTTGAACTAAGGTGGTGAGTGAAAATTGAAGTTATGGGTCACAAGATTTACTGAGAGTTTATAAGGAGGTTGTAAAAGATTGAGAGGAATAAAGGGTTACACCAAAGTTTTTTTGCAAGAACAATAAAAAAAGCAGAATTGCATCAATGGCAGAGCTTTTTTTTTTTACATATGCTATCAGAAGTTTAGCTTTAAACACTGAACTCCATTTCCATACCAAATTCCTCCAAATGACTCTACCTTTGAAAAGATTTCCAGTATATTCTGACAGGCCTACAATGATAGTCACCTTCTCATAGCCAATCTTCCTTTGTTTGTTTGGAACCAGAAGTTCTGCTATTTGTGATCACATCTTCCCTGTCATCTCTGCCTTATCCTCCCCATGGCTGTATCCCTCCCTAGGACTTCCCCTACTTCTTAGACTTCTGCTTTTTCTTTGTTTAGTACTCTGTACTCATTGCTCCAACTGACTGGAACAGTATTCTCCTTATGTTCAAATGATGAACTTTTCAACATTCATAATCTCAATTACCCCTTGCCATTGATATCTCAATTACTTATTCATTAAATAAGTATTTAGTGCCTTCCACATACTACTCAGTCTTTTCATTCCAAATGCCTTCACATGTAATTACCAGAGCAGGGATGGGACAGTGCTTCAAATAGAACATGAGGATTATGGGTAGGACTGGAAAAAACAATGAGGACTTTACTTCAATAATCCAGGTGGGAAATTATAATGATTTGAACTAAGGTGGTGAGTGAAAATTGAAGTTATGGGTCACAAGATTTACTGAGAGTTTATAAGGAGGTTGTAAAAGATTGAGAGGAATAAAGGGTTACACCAAAGTTTTTTTGCAAGAACAATAAAAAAAGCAGAATTGCATCAATGGCAGAGCTTTTTTTTTTTACATATGCTATCAGAAGTTTAGCTTTAAACACTGAACTCCATTTCCATACCAAATTCCTCCAAATGACTCTACCTTTGAAAAGATTTCCAGTATATTCTGACAGGCCTACAATGATAGTCACCTTCTCATAGCCAATCTTCCTTTGTTTGTTTGGAACCAGAAGTTCTGCTATTTGTGATCACATCTTCCCTGTCATCTCTGCCTTATCCTCCCCATGGCTGTATCCCTCCCTAGGACTTCCCCTACTTCTTAGACTTCTGCTTTTTCTTTGTTTAGTACTCTGTACTCATTGCTCCAACTGACTGGAACAGTATTCTCCTTATGTTCAAATGATGAACTTTTCAACATTCATAATCTCAATTAAAAAACCACCTATACAGGGAGTACTTCCTTAATAATTACATCCAAAGTAGCATAATTCTCTTAGATCATGCTAACACGTTGTATTACCTTTTTTCTTTATAGCACTTGCCATTTTCTGAATTTATTTATTCATTTCTTTAATTTCCCTTTAAATATACTTAGATTTAAGTCTCTTTTGCTCATGACCCTATCCTCAAATCCTAGATCCTGATATATTTGACAATATTTCAGGTACTGAATACATAGATAAAGGAAAAACTGGTCTCAAAATTTGGTGTGTATGGTCACTGTCATGTCCTGGAAACATTCTGAAATATATACTTAGATCAATCTCCAGTGTCAGTTGGCATGTCCTCTAAGACAGGAGTCCCCAACCTCCGGGATCCAATGTCTGATGATCTGAGGTGGAGCTGATATAAATATAATAGAAATGAAGTGCAAAATAAATATAATGTGCCTAAAGCATTCTGAAACAATCCCCCATCCCTTAGTCCATGGAAAAATTGTCTTCCACAAAACCAATTCCTGGTGCCAAAAAGGTTAGGGACTGATGCTCTAAGATATACATTTGATACATATATCAGTATAGGGGAAGACTTTCTAATTATTAGTAATGTTAAAATTGCCAATATAGCCTTCATTTTAACATTACCTGGATATTTGTTCTAAGGTTCAAAGGATCACATTTCCTATTTGTGTTTTTCCCAAATATTAGATTATAAAACATTCTATTTCTCTTACACATTCTTTAAAATGTTTTTAAAAAATTAAAATCAGCCAATTTCAAATACTGATGTATAAGATTATGAAAATCTGTTAAGCAAGATTTAAATGAGATAAAAATGCATGTTACCTTTATGATAATTGTCTTTAAACATGAACAACCATTGCTTATCCTGATGTTAATAATCCTTATTATTCACCAATAAAAACTAATTAGGAATAACAATTTCCTGGATTCATTTACAGCTTATCTTCAGGCTCAGGGCTGTCACCGCAGGATTTGGGCATGTCTGATATGCATAAAGCTAATCCTTTCTTTCTATTTCCTTCTATGTAAAAGACAACATTCCCTCAACATTATAGGATCCAGATTGCTTTAATTTCATTTGAACAGCATATGAGTTCCTCTATGATGGCAAATTTGTCCTGTGCATCTTTGTACCCTTGGGCTGTAACAAAGTAGCAGTTAATTAGAAAATATTTCTTCAATTAATAATGAGCCTAGTATATTTCAATGTCGTTACTGGAACAACTTATGATATGGTGATATATTAGTATCCTAAAACAGAGCCTAAATATGTATGTACCCTAAATACATATCACAAACTGAGTCATTGTGAATTTCAGAGGTTAAGCTTGAAGTGCAGACAATGGTGTGAAGACATTGAGGAAGAACCTTTATGTGATAACCCCTTCTCCTAAACCTAGTAAGTTCCATTTCTTCAAAATGTGAACAATTCTTGCAAGAGATCTTTCCTTTCAAGGGTTGGACCTGATAATAAGACACAACTTTGCTTGATAAAGAGTAGGTGGAGAAGAAATTTATTGGCCTAGCTAGAGGTAAGTGAGAGAGATTTATTTATGGAGTCCAGCTACTTTTCATCATTCAGGACTGACATTTAAAGTAATGTGAACTCTTCACAATTACATTATGCAGCTGAGCTATAAGAACAAAAATAGTAATAATAATATGCTACATGCTAGGATATTTATATCCACAATTACATATTAAAAATTACATGTACATGAAGCAGGCACCCAAAGCCAGTGCTCCGTGACAACCTAGAGGAGTGGGATGGGGCGGGAGGTGAGATGGGAGATCAGGAGGGAGGGGACATACCTATACGGATTCATGTGGATGCATTCAGGACTGACATTTAAAGTAATGTGAACTCTTCACAATTACATTCTGCAGCTGAGCTATAAGAACAAAAATAGTAATAATAATATGCTACAAAAAAAAAAAATTTAAAAGTCCCAGAAATGCCAGACTTTTGGGGGGAAGCATTGAAGTTTGAAAAAGTGAATAAAGTCAAGAAAATTGTTTCAGAATTAAATTTATTCTCTGCTTGAACTTGAGTCTGTGAGCTGTGGATTTCAACCAAATTTCCCATCAACTGATTTATTAGCCATCCTAGTTTAGGAATACAGAGATCCAGTTGTCCTAATTACCATCCTTTCTTCAGTAACCTCTGGATTCCTTGCTTGATCTCCTGGGTTCGCACCCCATAGACAATGGGGTTGAGGGCTGCAGGGATGACATGATGCAGGACATTGAGCAAGACTGGCACGTCAGGGGACACCTTCTTCTTTGCCACGTGAGTGAGGACAAAGACCAGGAGGATGGTGCTGAAGAAGAGGATCAGGATGAAGTGGGAGCCACACGTGCTTAAGGCCTTTACAACAGCTCCTTCTGACTTGAATCTCAGAACAGCCCTTAGTATGAGGGTGTAGGAGAGGAAGATGAGGATGAGGTCAGACCCCAGCAGAGTCCAGCCTCCAGCAAATTGGAGGAGACGATTGATAGTGACATCATCACAGGAGAGTCTGGAGACAGACATATTGGCACAGAGGCAGTTCTCAATGACATTTCTCCCACAATAATGGAGTCGAGCAGAGAGGATGGGAACAGACATAGTTAGAAGTGCATTTCTGGCCAAGACAAAAATGGCCACCTTGGCTATAAATTGGTTAGTGATGATGGATGGGTATCTCAGTGGATGGCAGATGGCTACATAGCGGTCGTAGGCCATAACCATGAATGTGCAGGACTCCATGGCAAGAAAGCAATTCATGATATACATCTGAACGAAACAGGCGACAAAGCTGATGGACCTGAGATCAAACCAGAATATGGCCAGAACCTTGGGGATGACGGTGAGGCAGAGCACCATGTCCAGCAGGGAGAGGAGGCTGAGCAGATAGTACATGGGCTCGTGCAGAGAGGCCTCCAGCCGGATGGTGATCAGGAGGGTGGCGTTGGCCCCCATGGCCAGGAGGAAGAGGAGACTGAGGGGCAGGGACAGCCAGAGCTGCCAGGTGGGGGACTTGACAAAACAGTTCAGGAGGAAGTCTGAAACCCCAGTGGAGCCATTTCTGTGAGATGTCATCTTGTGGATTTTGTTTCTACAGACTTCCTTTTATGATCTAAAAAGTTAGGATCAAAATTAGCCTCTGATTGTACTAACGCTGGGAGAAAAGTTCAGGAGCAAACTTACGGTTTCTAGCAGATTATTTTGCTTTAAATGAGGATTTTTCACGTTGCACACAGGAAATAAATTCATTTCAGTCTTCTGCAATTTTTGTGTCTCCTCACTTATGAAATAATTTTATTTTTTCAATGAAAACATCTTATAAAGTAGAATGAGTTAGGAACAGTTAGCTGTAAGATGTTTTCTTGCAACTGAGGATTGTTATAGAACAGGTCCTCTGATTTTAGCAGTGTGGAGGTCTTTAGTGATTCCATCTCTGAATCTCTTTGCCCAACTGACCAGATAATGTCTCCTACATTCATACCATACACCGTCCAGTGTTGCCACTCTTTTTTTTTTTCTAATTTAGCCTTTTTTTTTTTTTTTAAAGCTCTTTATAGAGAGGGAACAAAAAGATTAAGTATTATCCTTGTTCTCAGAGAGGTGAAAATTCCCTTGGGATTGTCAGTTATAAGACAAAATGATAAGATAATAACAGAGTAATGTGCAGAATATTTTGAGAGTAGATGAGCACTAAACTTACTCACATGAAAGTAAAGTGTTCCCAGGACTACTCTCCTGCTGAATTTTAAAGCAAGTTCAAAGAAAGCTGCAAAAAAATGAGCTGCTTGTTGCAGTGAGAAATACCTACAAAATGTCTGATATTAGAATTTCTGGAGTCTTTAAAGTCATATTGTATATAGTCCCTTTATCTGTCTACAAAGATATTTTGCTCCAGTGTAATCTCATGGGTATAAATTGTTTCATCAGTATATCAGCTTCACTGTTTTCCATCTGTTTAGCTAGCTGGTAAAATGCAAATATTGTTTGCAGTGAATCAAGTGGACTTCAAATACTTATTAGACATTGTGCTAAAATACATTAGGAGCTTGCATGTGTGTGTGTGTGTGTGCTCAAAAGTGTCCAATTCTTTGAGATCCAATTGTAGTCTGCCATGTTCCTCTGTCCATGAGATTCTCCAGGCAAGAATACAGGGAGAGGGTTGCCATTTCCTCCTCCAGGGGATCCTCTGGACCCAGGGATCAAACCTATGTCTCCCGAG